TGGCCCCGGTTGATACACGATGTCGAAGTGGATAAAAGTTCCGTCATGTATCGCTCAAGGAACATGTCAGTCAGTTAAATGGAGCACTTTCAAGAGGGACCAAAGGCTACTGAATCTGCAGATACCGTCAGCAGCACAACTGGTTCAACACTGAAACCTGCCTTCAATGTGAAACTGCCGGAAGAAAGTGGTTTTCTGTTAGACGATGAGGATGATGATCTTATCTTGCAGTGGTTCGATGCAAGAAACCTACATGTTACGCTTCAGGCTGGTCCTTCGGCTCATACCTGATTATTCAGTGTCCACACTGAATGACCCAGTGAATGGACTTGCACTTGTTTGCGACGTGATGTTGACGGGGTAGTGTGGGTCCTCAAGAGTTCCCTCGGTGCTTTGGGAAAATCTGGCGCTGGTCCTTCTGCTCCTTTACTTTAATGCCATGCCGCAACCCTACAAGCCTTTGGATACATCTTGGCAAGCAAGCGTGATCATAGATTTATCTCATCACCAGCTTTGGTTCACACTAATCCTTTACCGTTTGCAGCTGTAGCTGACGCAGTAAAACGAAACTATGTTTACCGCCAAGGTGCCATCGATGCTGGATTTCCGAACGGGGACACTGAACTACGGCGGAGGAACGTCGAAGTATTAGGGGACACGACCAATAAAGTGCATGTTTCTTAGCAGCACATTGTAATGCTCCTAGTTATTGGTTTACTTTCGCTGGCCAAACCATATCCAACCTGTGTCGTCTGTGCGCAAGATAATGTATTTCTTCTGTTCCTTGCTGTTTGACTTCATTTTTCCGACCTAGTCGTGCTCATCAACGTGTTTAATACTTGTACACGCTCTTTAAAGGATAACTTATTGCTCGCGGTACCACCAAAAAATGGCTTGCAACTTCTATGCACCCGAGGAGAACAAACTCGCTTTTGTTATCCGGATCCGTAGTATAAACGGAATCCATCCCCGGTTTCGAATGATTTTACAACTGTTTCGCTTGCGGCAGACCAATAATGGAATGTTTGTACGAATTAATGGGGTTACACATAATATGTTACTGATTATCGATTCCTGCGTCGCTATGTGTTAGCCACCCATCAAGATTGTTCGGCACCTTTTATACAAACGATTTTACTGTAAAAATAACGAAACCCGTCAACCAATCACCACGACTTGATCGATGTTGACGGGGTAGTGTGGGTCCTCAAGAGTTCCCTCGGTGCTTTGGGAAAATCTGGCGCTGGTCCTTCTGCTCCTTTACTTTAATGCCATGCCGCAACCCTACAAGCCTTTGGATACATCTTGGCAAGCAAGCGTGATCATAGATTTATCTCATCACCAGCTTTGGTTCACACTAATCCTTTACCGTTTGCAGCTGTAGCTGACGCAGTAAAACGAAACTATGTTTACCGCCAAGGTGCCATCGATGCTGGATTTCCGAACGGGGACACTGAACTACGGCGGAGGAACGTCGAAGTATTAGGGGACACGACCAATAAAGTGCATGTTTCTTAGCAGCACATTGTAATGCTCCTAGTTATTGGTTTACTTTCGCTGGCCAAACCATATCCAACCTGTGTCGTCTGTGCGCAAGATAATGTATTTCTTCTGTTCCTTGCTGTTTGACTTCATTTTTCCGACCTAGTCGTGCTCATCAACGTGTTTAATACTTGTACACGCTCTTTAAAGGATAACTTATTGCTCGCGGTACCACCAAAAAATGGCTTGCAACTTCTATGCACCCGAGGAGAACAAACTCGCTTTTGTTATCCGGATCCGTAGTATAAACGGAATCCATCCCCGGTTTCGAATGATTTTACAACTGTTTCGCTTGCGGCAGACCAATAATGGAATGTTTGTACGAATTAATGGGGTTACACATAATATGTTACTGATTATCGATTCCTGCGTCGCTATGTGTTAGCCACCCATCAAGATTGTTCGGCACCTTTTATACAAACGATTTTACTGTAAAAATAACGAAACCCGTCAACCAATCACCAACGACTTGATCCAACGGAAACGTCAGCGTTACGGGATCCTGTGCATAGGATATCTGGTACATGAAGCCGTCAAAATGCAGAAAAACTTCAAGCCAACTGGTGCATCTATGTATCAACCCATATTGTCTCCTGGCACATGGAAATCCCAATATAGGTAGGGATGTGGGCTATCGAAACCTTGGAAAATTCAGTCTTGCCTCTAATTGCTTTACATCATACAGAATATATTGCCAACGTACCCTTGATGGATACCCTAATGAATCAATTCTCCCAGCTCCCTGTACTTCAACGTAATCATGAGAAAAACTTAACCTAACGGTGCCTGAGACAAATATGAAGTTACTCTATCTTTCCGACAATATGGTCCACTGCTGAATTAGAATTGCGCATTCCGCCTGCGCACTTTGAATGGCTTATGTGAAAAATTACTAGGAATTCTTATGCATCTCTCAAAGCAAATAACATCAACTCTCAGTAATACACGAAGTGCTACGCGACGTACGGAGAACACATGTGTTGCTGGCATGATTGGCCTATTTAAGTAAGTCAATGAATGGAATATGTTGCAAGGGCCATCACCGCTAAAGCGCTTCCAGTCTGTAAGTAACATCTTAGTGCGCCAGTTACCACATGGTGGTACGGAGGGCTGCATACCTTTGGGAATGGTGCCAGAAGACTGAAAAACTTAAGACGTTTCAGCAGATGGTAAAACCGTTTTACGATAGTCCAGTTTCGACTTTTTTGGTCATATATCGTAAGCGCATTCTGTTCTAAACATCCCAGACATTTAGGAGTAGATTTCTCCCTATCACTCAATTTTTTCTCTTCCAGTTAGCCTTTTCTGTCATGTCGCTTATAAAATGTTAACATTTCACCATATAATCTGATATTCATAAACAAAATATTTTGTCTGGTTTCCACATTTATGTTGCCTACATCTTTAAAGTATTCACTTGCTTATATGTGTACCTTGACAACTGACCTGCTTACACACCAACCAAAAGAATCAGTAAGATCTTATCTAAAGTTGTGAGATGCAGGGTCAGAAACGGGGACTATAGAGAACAGTTTGTGAACGTAGATGCCAGAAATGTAATCCACTTTCAAGTGTGTTTGCTGTCCATTTTGGGAAGCCAAATCTAGGACCAGTGATAAGTCTACTAATAAGTTGTGTGAGTAAAAACTGATGAGCAATATGGACGAACAGATTTAGATTCTGAGGAAAGTTTGAGGGAAAGTTTGAGTGGGTTTTGCACTGTCTGTCTCATAACTGATCCCCTCTATTTTGACCGACCGCGAAGTCAGCCAACCGAGACAAGTCACACATGATTTGTACTAAGCAATGGTTAAAATTTCTCTTGTGGCTATTTAACGGTATTTACTGGCCTAACATAATGCAGGAATGGATAATAACTTGTCAGCTGTAAACATAATATCATGACCAGCGATCACGACATCCGAAACATTCACGATAACTGAGAATATGTCTGAATGTTCACGTCTAGCTTATAGAATATTTTGGGTCCGAAATGCAGACCATCCGTTTGGGAAAATATTGACTTCAACAAATAAAAAACAGCTGTAGAATGGAGAAACACTTTTCATAATGTTAGTCTGAGAATAACTTTTATTTAGCTTAAAATCTCCTTCACAAGAAAGAAACATTTTCGTCCAAATACTATAGTGAAGTCTGCCTTCCCAATATGAGTGTCGAGAGCGTTTGACGCTAGTATTAAGAGACTGCCATCAACCCGACAGCCAAGGGTTTCTAATGTACACAGAGATAACGTGCGTCAGAAAGGCGTAAATGTGCGCAAGTTGGTAAATTAGTTTGGAATAAGGTGCGCGTTTTCGTTGATGCTCAATAATGATGAATCCCTTACACAGTGTTTCCCGGCTTCCCTATATAATTGCATGGTGAAATTTCCTGTGGAAATTTCATAATCCCCTCGTACTACTAACATACTTTTTAGTAACTCATTAACATTTGGTTGTTTCTTGAAACAAACGACTGTCTTGTTGGGCGCAGTAGAGATATCCGTGACCCTACTAAGTTATTGATTTTTTCACGAAAGTGTTGGTTGATCAGTAACATTGTATTTAGTGACTACGATTCGGTTGAGTATTTAGTAAACCTAGGCATTCGCTGCTGAGCATCAGCTCGGACTTCACAGCTAGGTGGATAAATCACATGATCCGGGAAGTATTAAATCCCCCTCCGTCTCTAAACTATTATCTAGGGGCTTCTCTTCACGGAGACCTCTCTCAAGTTCTAAAGGGTTTTTCTGGTGAAAATTGAGCATCACCTAAGATTTTTTTAACATAAAATGGGAAAATCATCCTCAAAAACGCTTTGTGACTTCCATGCAAAGCGCCAAAAGTTGGTTTAGTTATTCATCGCCGGCAAGTTGAAATTGCGTGTAAATGACGCATGTTTCCCGACTACTTTGTGCAGGTAAAAACTCCAATGCTTACAGGCATGAAATTTACCGGAAGCAAACTTATTAGGTCATATAATACAAAAAAATGCATCCCCGAACAGTTTATTCAAAAAAATATTCGAAACAAAGTGACTTAAGCGTTCTTGTTAAGCATCACGCCATCCGAACAGCCTAAAGTAATGAGGTTTGTTGAAAAAGTGAGAAAATATTTAGGGTAATGCGGTGTTTACATTTTGAACTCGATCATGATGTGTCACTTTTCTTGCGTTTTCTTTGAATTTCAATCAGCTGTAGCTCTCCAGGGTTAGTGGATTGATCAACAAATCAAAACAGCGTTCAAGCTTCAATAAATCGGAGGAAAAAATGTAAGGTCCTGCAGTCTTAACCGTTTTGCCCTTTTCCTGTTACTTGGGCATCGCCAGGCCATTAATGTTTCCATTTGTGGAGTTGCTGTTGGAACTCACGCAGAACGTGTTATGTGATCTGCTTATGCGGGAAACACTTTCGGCCCCATAAGTTGTCGTTGGTTGGGTGAAGCTTATCCACCCACTATTTCACAATGCTCCAAATATGGTAGCTTTAGTCAGCAGCCAGTTGCGTGTTTACCCACAATTTCTAATGCACAAGTGTTGGCAACTGACATTTCTTTGACTATGGATTCAAATAATTAGGTAAATATATTTGCGGTATTTTTAAAGTTTATGCTCTCATCACCCTCTGTCCTGGTAACGACTAGGGTTGCCTAACCTTTTCAAAAAACGGGGAAAGCAAATTCGACGCTACATAATCTGGTACTTACCGCCTGGTAAGTCGAGGTTAATTGCCAAAGCGTGTTGCGGTCTAGACATCCGCAGATTGCTTCTTATTATGGTATTAGTAGAGTACCAGTAAGTCTGCAGCGTGTCTAGATAATTTTGAGCAATTTGCATAAGTTGCGGAATGAAAATTTTCAGCCTCGTCCTAATCCCACTGATAGCTTCTTAACAGAAGTGTGTTATAGTACAAATTGTGTTAAGGGGTGGTTCTTAAAGGCTTATTAATGCTAGATTATAGCCAGCTATTCGACAAAAACAGCTTCCAAAATCTACTGGTTGTATGCAATTTTCGAAAACCGCCTGCAATTTTGAAGCGTTTTTGATATACACTGAGGACTTACTTAGAACAATACCAAATTCGAATTGATGAGCATATTTTCGGCAAGACGTTCTCATGCCATACAGTTGTTTCAGTCTTTTCGACCATACTAGTTGAGGAAGTCATGTCAAAAGTTATCCGTCAATCCATCGCTGTTCTCAAACAAGCTAGGGGTAAATTAAAGAGACTACAACTATATACTCTGGATATTTCAGCTTACGGCGGAAATGGAATTTTATACAGTTAATCTGGCATGAGCTGGATTTTACTAGGGCTCTTCTCCAACACCCATATTTGAAGATTAAAGGACCATTTCAGTCAAATAGGATTATCATCATCAGAATAGCGACACTGTTCAGTGATCACGCACAGCTTTGCGTCAGCAATCAGCCAATGGATTCTTAATCTATGGTGTGTAT